TAAACTTATTGATGTATTTGGTGATTTTCCTTGTCTTCCTGCTGCTGCTGCACCTCCTCCTCCTCCTGCTGCACCTCCTCCTCCTCCTGCTGCTGTTGCTGCACATCCTGCTGCTGCTGCTCCTACTGTTCCTGTTCCTCCTGCTGTGGGGAATTCTCCTGCTGCTTCTCCTACAAGCGAAGCAGCAACATCACCACATGCAGCAACAGCAGCAGCAACAGCAGCAACAGCAGCAGGACGCAGAAGGGATGCAGCAGCAACTCCTACTAACAGCAGCAGCAGCAGCAGCAGCAGCAGCAGCGCGAGCAGCAGCAACAGCAAAAGTTTCTCTGCTCGCCATAGTAGTCCCGGAACCCCCCCCTCTACACCCATCAATACAACCGCAATAACAAGCAGCAGCAGCAGCAGCAGCAGCAGCAGCAGCAGATCAAGCAGCAGCAGCAGCAGCAGCAGCAGCAGCAGCAACAGTAAATGTATTAGATTAGTAATGGAGTTATGTACAGGAAAAGAATTATATGAAAGATTATTACAAAAAAGAAAATATAACGAAAAAGATGCAGCAAAAATTGTATGGCAAATGCTTGCTGCTGTTAATCATTGCCATCAACATAATATTTGCCATAGAGATATCAAGTAAACCCTAAACCCTAAACCCTAAACCCTAAACCCTAAACCCTAATTTTTTTTTTTTTATAAAAAAATAAAATTGTATGGCAAATAGTTTCTGCTGTTAACATCTATATCTAGGGTTTAGTGTTTAGGGTTTAGGGTTTAGGGTTTAGGGTTTAGGGTTTATAAATGTGCTTTCTTTTCTTCAGGCTGGAGAATTGGGTTTATTTAGATGAAAGAGAAGATGCCCCTCTCAAGCTTGTCAGTTGTTGCTGCTGCTGCTGCTGCTGTATAATGCTGCTGCTGCTGCTGTATAATGCTGCTGCTGCTGCTGTATAATGCTGCTGCTGTTGCTGCTGCTGCTGCTGTATGATGCTGCTGCCACTGCTGCTGCTTCTACCCTACTTATGTCTTTTTGTACAATAAATATAATAATAAATGAATAAATAATAACAAATTAAATATAAATAGGTAAATAAATAAATAAATAAATAAATATGTATATATATGTATATGTATACAGATAGACTTTGGCTTTAGTTGTTTATTTTCTGGTGGTAATTCAATGAGGGCAATGAAGGGAACTATTTATTATGTTGCTCCTGAGGTCCTTGATGGTCAATATAATCAACTCTGTGATGTATGGAGTATAGGTAAGGGTTTAGGGTTTAGGGTTTAGGGTTTAGGGTTTGGAAACCCTAATTTAGGGTTTTGAATGGGGTTGGGAATTGGGGTGTAGATGGTGTATTATGTTGCTCCTGAAGTCCTTGATGGTCAATGCAATTAACTTTGCGATGTTTGGAGTATAGGGTTTAGGGTTTAGGGTTTAGGGTTTAGGGCTTAGGGTTTACGATCGATAATGAAATTTTCAGGAATTTTTTTTAGAATTTTTTTGTTCCTTATATAACCCGTCTATAATGAATTTTTATATTTTTTTTTAGAATTTAGGGTTTAGGGTTTAGGGTTTAGGGTTTAGGGTTTAGGGTTTAGGGTTTAGGGTTTGTGTGTATACAGGTGTAATAGTATATATGTTATTATCAGGAACTCCTCCTTTTTCTGGTAAAACAGACTTAGAAATAATATTAAAAATAAAAAGATGTGAATTTAATTTTGATGGAAAAATATGGAAAAGTGTTTCCCCTCTTGCTAAAGATTTTATTTCTTCTCTACTCAGGTTAGGGTTTAGGGTTTAGGGTTTAGGGTTTAGGGTTTAGGGTTTAGGGTTTAGGGTTTGTTAGGGTTTAGGGTTTAGAGGGTTTTATGTGCATGACGGGTATCAAATTGAGAGAAATTCCTCATATAAAAAACCATGAATCATAACAAACCCTTTATAAACCCTAAACCCTAAACCCTAAACCCTTTTTGTATATATTTAATTGTGTTTATTGTGTATATTATAGGAGAAACCCTGAGGATAGATTAACAGCAGCAGCAGCATTAGAGCATCCATGGCTAGCAGTAGAGGATGGATCAATACAAAGACAAACAATTGATATTGAAGTCCTAAAAAGCATGAGAAGATTTGCTGCATGCACTGCTATTCAAAGAGCTGCACTCGGTTAGGGTTTAGGGTTTAGGGTTTAGGGTTTAGGGTTTGGGGTTTTGGGGGGGGTGG